AATAGGACGTCCAACGTATATTTCATGACTTATTTTTTTCGTGAAGACCTCTGACGAGTAGGAGGACGTGAGAATAAAGGAACCGTCAATAACGTGTCATATATAATATAAACTGTATATTATAGATATAAAAATATATCATATAATAATTTCGATATACCTTTTTATATACCTACATGTATATAGATGGCGAGGCCATTAGAAGAGTAAAAACCGCGATTACAATTGATAGTATAATAATATAAAATATAATATGTGTCTCTTGGCACACGTTATTATACTATACCAGGTGACTTGACAGCGCTCGTTCTGGTATAATAACATACGAACAGTATACACATATATAGGCACGCCCGTTATAATAATATCCAACGTGCGTGTACGAAGATATCTGTATTTTTAAACGTCTATTAGGCCACGGACGACCTGACATCCGAGACGCGTCTCACGATAGCGCTCGCAAGCCCTCCCACCGCGGGAGGTCCTGAGAGAGTCTTGTTTTTACGCAAACATACACACACACACGCACACACACACATGCACACACACACTTGCCGGTCTCTTCCTCTTACACATCATAATATTATACAAGAAAAAGAGAAGAAAAAGGTCACCTTTCTGGCTCTCTGTGACGATACTCGCAAAACTCTTTAATACGTACGTTCTGTTATTTTGACATGCCGTCCCCGAGGCTTAAACGATATTATATTATCCGTATACATTACGAGTGGGTGTGATCGACATTCTTTTGGTTCACGTTTTATTGAATTATATCAGATGCGTCTCTATACATATTGTATATAAATATTTTTTAATAATGCAATAGTATAATATCGATATCGCTGAAACCAAAAATAAATGTTTGATTTTTCGTTGTAATTTTAACTTTCTTTCTAGTTTAATAATTAAAAAATGATTTAACGAGTATTAATATACTGCTCGTATGTTTAATTAAATAATCAGATGGCTCGATGAATCGATTCTGTATGACTAATTTATTGTTATTACAATACTACTAATGTGGTCTGCAACTATTATTGCTTTTACTACTTCCTTCCACGAAACTGAAAAAAATAAAATTTAAACATCTTACTAATTGTTCTGTTTCCTATGTATCATATTCTTTTGCTACTTATTTGCTATTTTATTTTACAAATAATTGATAGAAAATTTTTTAACATGTGTGATTTAAAACATTTTGATTGCTATAAACGTTTTTAATCTTAGTTTCTAAGCAGTAAAATGAAAGTATTAATTTCTATAATAGAAAAAATATGGTAGCAACAAACTTCTAAGAAAGTTTCTAATAGCGAGTTTGATTTAATTTATACTTTGAAGATTTAAAAATAGAAATTTTTCAGTTACTTATTAAATAATTGGGATAAACAAGAAACATTGATAGATTGTTTTACGCAAAATCAGTCTGGATTTTTTTTAATCGTATTAATATGCAATTTAAAAACATAATTTAAATTGCTGAGATTTTTATACACATATGTTATTCACGGCTATTTTTGATTTTTATTAGATTTATGTTTGATAATATTTCCGTTTGTAAATAAAAAAAAACTTAGTACAATACACGCTTTTTAATTTTATTACAGTGATTTAATAATCTAACCTGCAAAATTATAAACTATCAAAAATGCAAAGTCATAGGTATCCTTCAGAAAATTATTTTGTAAATACATAAAGGATGATAACCTTAATTATTTCATTTTAGTATTAAGACGTATTCCTAATTATTTTAAAAAGTACTAGGATTGTTTTACTTTTGACTCCTAAAAGCATTCCACTCGACTAAATATTTTACTAGAAATTAATTAAAGACGAGATTTAACTTTAAAGAAATTTTACTGCTTTAAACGCTAAGAATGTTACTCATTTTCATCTTTATTAAAAAAACCTATGTGAATGCCTTTGTACTCACGAATGATGTGTAAATATCTTAGCTGCAGTACGACTTTGTTTAGGGAATATAATTTCATGGTTTGAGTGGGAATTTGTATAATAAGGTAACAATTATCATACAGGATCGCGTTCTCTTTAAAATGTATACTCAATTTTTTTTTATTTTTTATATATTTTTTTTTTATTATTATATATATATTATAATTATTTGTTATATATTATTAATTATGATATATTATATATCGTTAGCCTATTTAGCAAACGGCGTAACTCCAAAAAATTCAAATTTCATTTTTTCATGTCATTAGATGGAAAAAAAAAATGCGCATCGATTGGTATCATAATCATAATATTTAAGTGTGTTTTCTTCCATGAAACCGGTGTTAATTGATACGCATTAGACGTAACTCCGATAAACAAATAATATAATTTCTATAGAAACCGGCGTATCTCAATATATATAATATTACATATGTTGGGTAGCCTGCGCGAATACCGTGCGCAATAGCCTCACACACACACACACACTCAAGCAATCACATCTACATGACTTACGCCTGACGCTCAATTCCCCAAGACGGTCGTACTACAAATCGATAGCATAGATGTTTACACATCAATAAAACAATTAATATTACAATTTTGTAATGCTGGTTAAAATTTTTAAATTTGAGAGTAACTATTTTTCTAGTGGTTCTGTTTATCGTGGTTATTGGTTAATTATTTTGTATTCCATACGAAATTCTATATGTATGCACTTTTGTTTAATGTATTAACAAACTTACAGCTAAAATATTGTTACTTTTCAAATCAAACACTGCATGTTACGAAAAACAGTAACTAATATTAATAACTATGTGCCTATGTGAGTATAAAGACTATCAATGATATGTTATATTTTTACTGTCAATCAAGGATTTTCAATTAAAAAACCGAATCATTAAAAGGCCAGCTAATACAATGAATATTCACTATTAAACTGCAGCATATACAAATTTGAAATTGTTTTCATTTTAATCATTTACATTATATCATTAAAACGGCCAACGCTTGCAGATTGGATACACTGTTGCTTACGTAGATAATAAAAAAAGATATTTATTTTCCTTACATCATAGAATAACGATCCTCATTCTATAAATAAATTTTCATCGGTATTATAACATTTAATATATACATAACATGTACAATAATATTTATTTTAAGCCAGTGATGAAATCCGCGATTCGCGAAAGCAAAAAAATATATCCTCAATATATAATATAGACGCGTATATAATAATATGATAATAATAATTTGATTTAATTTTATTAGACACAAGTATTCCCAAATAAAGACCATCAAAAACAACCGCATTGCTGAGTTTTGGAATATTTTTTTCGGAGGCATAAAAATCATCGGACTCTACTCCCACATGTACACGCCCGATCACCAGCATCTGTGATTATTATTATTATACACCAGGTTGGGGTGAAGTGGTTTGTTCGCCGTCCGTAGTTTGATGGTAAAATTGTAGCGATGGGGTAAAGGGGCTATAACGCGTGTGTGAGTCGTGCAAGGGAGAAGTATACACCATGGATAGTGCATGTGCGCGAGCGGAGATGGTCCGTGGGCGTTATGTGACGATACAGGGTAAGAGGAAAAGCATATAATATGGATAGATGTTGAGGGGGAGTGTTTTGTGTATAGGACGTGGAGTTATGGTCATCGATCAAGAGCGCTGTCAACCTGAAACACCCAGCACAGAACCTGCAGGGTATCCCTTCGGCGTTCATATATACGCGTATACACACACTCGGGATATTATTCCGTTTTCCTCTCGCGGATATATAACCGCAACCCGGGAGCCAACCAATTAAAACAAAAATTAAATAATTGTTTCGGGTCATTGCTGAAGGAGATTGATGGTGTGTTTGGAATAAACACTTCTTCGCCCGATGTGTATGAGCCATACACGAACTGAGAGGACGCGCACGCGGTTGTTGTCCGAATAGACATTTTCTAGACAAGACATTTTGACGCTCCACATATAAAACTATATACCTACCTGCGTAAGTTTGGCCATGTAGAACTCAACGAGAAGTACATATATATAAATATGTTTTACATAGATGTGTATGTATGTCTAAGTGTACATACATATGGTGCGCTCAAACAAATTATATAAATATTATCGAAGTATACATTATTATTATTTAATTTACTTTACATACCTTATATTTTTATGTATGATAATTAATTAATAATAATATAGGTACATATTATATATTATATAATAATAATAATAACGAACGTTTCCGGTCAGAAAAAAATGTCTTGATATTTATATTTTAAACTCCAGCTTATACCTACATATTGCACAGTAATAATATAAATCACCGTGTATTTACACATATTTAGTTTTTACAACCTTATAAATTATATGAACGTGTGCTAATTATTAAACATTAATCTTCCAATATTTAGCTCTATGAAATGTACCTAATAAATAATTATTATGCGCTATAATGTATAATATTTCAACAAAATAAATTGTTGAAGTTACTTAATATTTATATCACGCAATCACATAATTATTAATATTTTATATAAAACTAAAATACATTAAAAATTCCTGCTTAAATACGTAAATTGCTTTCTTCTCTTGTGCTTTTTTACGGATAAGAGAAGCCATTTTTTGATTTTCTCAACATTTTTTATTCAAAATGTGTAACAGCATAAAAAACAATCGATGCGACCGAGAATTTAAAAATGAACGTATCTAAGATTTTAATTTTTTTTTTTTTTAATTTACATTTTAAGTTTATACGTTAAGAGTAAAAACAAAATATTAAAATGCAACATATACAGGTAACTTATTTAAAATTGTACTTATATTGTGTTTAATTTACTAAAAATTATGCATTTTTATTAAAATATATTCCATATTATTCATAATCATTAATTATGATACAATACAATAATTATCAAACCGGTATATAAACAAATATACATATGAAACAACTATCGATTATGTAAGTAGCAAGCTATCAACAATAATCAATACGATTGTAATGAATAAAAAATGTTATCAGCCATTTGTGTCTGTTAGTAGGTAACTAATGTGCTGTGTTCATATGTAAGCAGTTATGGTACATTCAGTTTGTCTGAATATAAACTCTGGCTGACGTGCCAATAATGCATTTTAATAACAAATATTTAAATGGTTATTTTATTTGATTCAAAATGGCAAACGATATTGCATTAAAAACATGGACCAAGAATGGAGAAACCACGTAAATATATACTGTAATATGTTTTTAAATATACAACACTACATAATTCATTTCGTTTTTTTTAGTAATCTGCTTCACCAAAGTAACGATGAGGATAAAAAACCACTGTATGCCTTTAGAAATCAATTTTTGGTTATCTTCTTTACATTTTTGCTGCTGATTATCACGTTCTTTATCTCAGTTTTCAGTTTCTGGATAGACGATGATCAATTTGTACAGGTAAAATAAAATACGATGATTACACAAAGCCAAGCCTGAGCAAGTTTATGATAATTTTTAACTAAGTTAAGTTAAATTGATAGAATACATTTTGAAAAGTTAAAAATTAATAGTTAATCTAATTTTTTCTTAACTCAATTAAGTTATAAGTTATATGGAAATTTTCAATTAACTTATTAACTTAAGTTAAGTTATTATTATTATTTTTTTTTTAATATATAAAATAGCCAGTAAAATAGTTTGAAATTATAAAATTAATAAACATTATTTAGCCCAAAAAATAGATTTACTATACATAAAATAACTAAATTTGGAAAATTAAAATATAGGTGGAAAGAATTAAGTAGTAGGTACTAAAAGATAAATAAAATAAAATATAATTTTTTAATTTATTAAAACAAATTTTATACATTTTTAAACAAGTAAATGATATCAAAATGGAATTTTTTTTTTTTTTTAATTTACTTAATTTGGGTATGATTAAAAGTAACTCGTTATTTATTAAGTTAATACCAATAAAAATCAGTTAAGTTAAAAATTAGATTATTGAAAATTAATTTTAAAAAAATTAAGTTAAAAAGTTAAAATTAACTTAACTTTTACTTTTTAACTCGTTTATGCCCCAGGCTTGCATAAAGCCATGTGTGTGCATTTGCATCAAGTTAACCTCCCACGGTAATGGGAAAAGGGCTTAGGGCATACAACTCTTTTTCGAAAACAGAAATATTACCAATGATTTAAGTAGTCTGTGTTATACAGAGAACAGACCATAAGTAAAATATCGAAATATTCAACCATATTTAATTTATTCTTATGTAAATACAAAACAATTTTAATTATTTGTATGTTTTGTATCTAAAAAACTATGAAATAAAATATTTTATTTATATAGAACATATATAAAAAATAGTCTATTATTAATGACAAGTTTTTAATACCTAAAATTATAAAATAAAAATCAAACAAAAAATGTATATGTGTACACACTTCATAAAATAATTAAAATATATCAAAATCAATATTCTTATATTTCAATTTGATAATTTTAGTTCAATTTATTGGCTTTAATATTCATCTAGAACCAGTATTGTTCTTAACCACTGTTAGGTACCTACATAAATTAATTTATTGTGTTACACGTATGATTATCAGAACTCAGAGATAATACATTGATGTAAACCGTTAAACGAACTCTATTCAATCGTCATTATAATTTATAACCTATAAATTTTTAAATTTATAGAGTGGGTCGAATATTCCTTATAAATAAATTTTTTTTTTTAATCTGATAAACTAATATTTAATGAGGTCAATATTTACATAGATATTATAACGAACAATGATTATATATTTAATAACTATAGGTATATCAGTAAATGCGGCCCACGTACCTTTTTTATCTGGCCCGCGCTACATTTTCAAATTACTTCATATAATTTTAGCACTTATCTGTATTTTATTTTATTTTATTACATTTTTCGATAATATTTGGATAAAAATTCTTATCTAGTTTTAAACCGAAACTAAATTATTAAATCGTTTAACAGATGAAACCTTGGGACATTTACTAAGAGTTTCAACTACAGAAATAGAAGTGGATTTTACTAAATTGTCTATTGAAAAATCTCATCCTCAATTATCACATTAAATAATAATTGTAAATATAAATAAATAAAGATAAAAAATAAATGTTAGTAAATTTAAAGGACTTTTTTCTTTCTTTCTCCTATGCACTGCAGCCCGCTAGATTTTAAAGTACTTAAAAGTAGCCCGCTAGTTACTTTGAGTTTCCCATCTCTGTTTTATTATATTATAATTTATAGATATTCATCAAATATGTGTCTATTGATGGAAAACGATTTTTAATGAAATGTACAAAACATAATTAATTAAATATAAATATGAAAGATAATTATTTTTTATAAGCTACTAATATTAGCGTAACAAAATTATTGCTATTATATATTCATGTGGTTCTTATTTCGGAAAACGCTTTTGAAATAGTAAGAAAAATTCAAAAATATATTTACAGCATAGTTCACATAATTTGTAAATAATAAGTAAATCATAGAACATGGCTTTAATAATAAATTAGATAAATCATTGTTTATTACAGTTATATTATCATTTTCTACGCATTTAAAATTGGTAACAAAATGCTAAATACTCGTTAAGTATTTATTACGGACAAAGATAATTCTATAAAAAAAAATATATTTGTTTAATAAAGGATTTAAAAAACTTTGACTAATTAATAGTTAAAAAATATACGAAAAAAAATTGCAAAGACTTATTTAATACTTTGATAAGTACGATTTGTATACAAACTATTCATAATAGATAATATTTATATTTTTTTTATAATTTATATTTATATTATGCTTTATAATAACGTACCTATATTGTTTTAAAATAGTCACAGTACGCTATCATTAAAAATAAAGATCATCTTGCAATAAAAAACAGAGAGTATTTCGACCAGTGTGCACCTATTTTCTCTTGTGATTATAGTGACAAATATAGAACTAGCAATGGGACATGTAACAATCCAAACAATCCAATTTGGGGTTCATCGAACACCCCATTCATCAGACTTGTCGATGCACATTACAGCGATGGTAATTAATAATTATTGTTTAAACAATTGTTCATATCTATGTACTATTTTATATATGACATAAGTACATAAAACATAACACATAGATCAGGGAAAGTATTGATGATTTTTATTGTTGAAGGTTTTAATATAATTGTTACTATGATCTTTTATTGATAAATATTTTAAATACTTTTCTAAAATAATCGTATATATCAAATAATAATACACCAGCACGCGTACATATATGTACGCGTATTATTAAAGACTTCAAGAGGCTGGAACATTGATTTAACCTCTGTATTATATTAGTCTACAGCTATGCCAAAACACATATCTTAAATATTACAAATTGAAAACTTTGAATTAAAGCTAAAACTTTCTTAAAACATAACGTACGTATAAAATAATAATCGATTTGTGAATAAGAAAATAATATTAACAGGCACTGATACAAATTAGTAATATTATCTTAGATGTCTAGATGTAATACTTGCAGAGTTGTGCTTTATTCAAATGAAATTTTATCTAGATGATTACTTAGATAACATTTTAGTCGAATAATTTTTTATTCGACTAAATTTCAAACATAGAAATTCGAATAATTTTCGTTTATTTTATTTTAGTAAACATTGGGTTGGTAATTAAAAACAGGCCCATATTATAAAAAATAGTTGGCATTGTATTTAAGTTACACGATTGTGAATTATTTTATTATCAGAAAAATGTAAAAATATTTTAAATAAACAAATATCTATCAATAGAAGAAAGTTACTTCCAATTATGTGCATTTGTTAATATTATTGTGTTGATCAGCAGTTGACCGTAATGTAGATTTTATATTTAATATATAGGTGTCATGTAACATACTTATAGTATTGTTACAGTATGATATATTATATACGACAATAGCTACATCTATATTTAATTATTATAAAAAAATATTTAAATATACCTTATTACGATTTTTAAATTAAATGTATTTTGAATCCGATTAATTAGCAATAAACTGCAATTACGAAAAAAAAATTACTTTAAGTAACTAATTATTTGTATAGCTATCATAAAAAAATGTGTATTATTAATTTATAAGTTTTACTAATATTATGCGTTAATATGTTTAAGAATATTATTCATCTTTGTCGTACGTGCATTATATTTAATATACATAGTAATATTTTTTAATTTTTTAAGGAATCTCTAAACTACGCATATCGTTTGATGGGAAATCATTGCCGAGTGCAAGAGAAATTCAAGTAAAACTATTTCTAAATAAACAAATTAGAATCCCTGATATAAATAATCAACTACTAATGCAATGGGGCCAATTCGTCGCTCACGATGTTTCTAACTTAGCAATTGATACAAACGAAGAAGGTAATAAAATGCAATTTTAATTGATATTTAATAATTCGAGTATGTGTAAGATCTACTTCTTATTAAAATTTGTAATTAAATTTCACATATGCGTATTTTATGTATAATTTAAATATTTTTTTTAGATTGTTGTGTATATCAAAATAATCTTTGGGTTTCAAAAGAATGTGAAGCTACCATCAAAATACCAATAGATGATCCTATTTATTCAAAGTACAACACAACGTGCATGAGATTTAATCGGGCAATGACATCAAACAACTATAGTTGTCCCATAGAACCATTGACGTTTGTAAGTTTTTATCATATTATTTATTCTAGAAAATTCGATGATTCATAATATTGTACTCAAAATTATAATACCTTGTAGTGTAGGTTATAAGGCCTAAACAATAAAATAAAATAGGTAACTATAATATACCTCACTGTTATAGTATTATGTCACCTAGTCTCAGTATTTCTTATTTGGTTTTTATAAATTTGATTGTTTGCCAAACCAAATAGTTGCTAAGACTTCCGTTGTAAATAAAATTATTTTACTGCTCTTTAAAAAAATAATATCTCTTAAACATTATATAGCCAAAGTATCAAATTAATTATCTTTATTATTTTATTTTATTATAACAAAAATCTTTACTGTGTATAGAATATCTATAATATTATACAGCACATTTTGATTAAATATTTGTAGCCAATAAGACGAGTGGTTTTCTTCATTGAGTTCCAATTTAAGTTTTTTAAATTCTACTTAACTACTTTTTTCATAGTTAACAAGTTAAAAATATGCCAATAAATTAGTATTTTGGGTACAATATAAGATTTAGAAGTATAGCGCATAGTATCATAATTCGTTAAAGTTACAATTTAATCATATTGATAACATTATATACTTCTAATTAATTTTTTGTTTACACAGTCAATTTCAATCTAATAAATCAATTTATTAGTAAACTTGAATTTATAGATAAACGATGCTTCTCACTTTATTGACGGATCTCAGATTTATGGTTCTAATGATTACATTGTATCGAAACTAAGATCGTTTACTGGTGGAATGTTAATTTCTGTTCTCGATAACAACCAGGAGTTTTGTCCACGTTCGTCCTTTAAGTCTTCTGATACCAACAAATATTTGTACATCTCCGGTAAAACTATCCACGCGTTGACACTGATTGCTGACCATGCACCATGTACTATAATATATTTATAGTTATACTCTGTTACAGGAGACTCACGAGCAAACTTGAACCTTGGGATAGCACTTTTTCACAATATGTTTTTGAGATTTCACAATTATGTAGCGTTTAAACTAAAAGCTGAGAATTCTTTGTGGTCTGATGAAAAGTTATACCAAGAATCACGCAGATTTATTGGTGCAATTATCCAACATATTACATACACACAGTTTTTGCCAATAATTTTAGGTAAGTTTATACTATAGCTATACTAATTTAAAGAATATACAAAAATATTTTACCCCTCAACATTGTTTGAATTTTTAAAATGTTATGCTTAATCGTTTAATGTCATAGCATAACCTATTATTTAGGCGAAAATTACACTAAGGACGAAGTGCTTAATGAAAACAACACATATGATTCCACTGTGAACCCATCAACTTCACAAGAATTTTCAACTGGTGCATTTCGTGTACTGCACAATATTGTACCAGCTCAACATAGGTGCAAACAAAATACACTTATTTTTATAAAAATATCAAGTGTAATTAAGATTTTCACAAAAAATTTTTATTTTTATTATTTTCAGATTTATTGATTTGAATTCCACAACTGTGCAAATAATCAATGTTACAGATTGGATGAACTGTCCGTATCTTTTACAACAAGGATCAAACTATGACCAGCTACTTCGAGGTTTAATAAGTACAGAAGGACGCCTGAGTCAACCTTCATACAATCCTTTAGTAATGTTTTCTTATTTAATAAATAATAATTAAAGAATACTATTTCAATATTAACTTATTTAGCTGCTAACTTAACTTCTATTTTTGAATAGATTTCGAACTTTATGTTTCATTCAAACAATTCGATTGGCGTGGATCTCCTATCATATGATATCCAAAGAGGGCGCGATACTGGTCTCCCGCCGTACAATAAAATGAGACAATTATGTGGATTACCTGTTGCTAAATCATTTGACGATTTGATTGACATTATACCAGCAGATGTTAGAGTGATGAGCTAATAAATATTTATTTTTTAAACACGAATTACTGTTATTACAATATTATGATATATTTTTAGTTGGAGAAATAGAAATTCTATCATTGCGAATCTTTAATATAGTTATAAGCATCTAATCATAGCATTTTGACACAGTTAATTGATAATTATCTTATATTTTGTTTCTTGTTCAATCACTTACTGTTTTTTTTTTTTTTTTTTGTTTCAGGACATTTATGATTTAGAGACACTTTACTCCTCCGTAGATGACATAGACTTCATTGTAGGGGCTTTGTTGGAGACACCAGAGAACGATGCTTTAGTTGGAAATACTTCACGATGTATTATTGGTGATTTTTTCTATAGATCGCGAGTTGGCGATCGATTTTTCTACGATAATAATGGACAATCCGGCCAATTTTCCAAAAGTTAATAATTTTTTTTATACTTAAATAACTGTGGCAGTTGTGGCATATTTCTATTTTTGTATACGTTTAGTAAATGTTTTCATTTAATTTGATGCTTAAATTTTTAGATCAACTTGAAATAATCAAATCAATTAATTTGGATCATATAATATGCATTACTTCGTCTGTTGATAATTTACAAAAAAATATTTTTACCAAAGTAGACAATGGGTGAGAATAATTATTTGTTATTAATAATAATAGATATAGTTATATATCCATATTATATAAGTTCTAAAACTACTCTATTATTAACGATTTATTATTGAATATAAAAGAGTTCAATATAACTTATCTTTTATACTATTAATGTATTAAAGTAATTTATTGTTTTTAATATCTTTTAGATGGTTTTCTTCAATGAAGTGGAATTGCAATGAAAAATATATGATAGATTTTAAACCGTGGAAAAAACAGTATGATTCATGATTAGTGTCATTAAAAGCAAACATAATTTCGTTTTGTAAATTGTGTCTGTTTTCTTATTCGAAACTCAATATAGTACAATATTTAAAATGTATTCATGATTTTTATAAACATTAAAATATATATTTTATTTAATAATCTTAAGTACCTAGGTATAATTTATTATCGTAGCTTTAGTTTATTTCCTTTGTTTTTTGTTCTTGCATTATTTATTTCTTCTATTTGATACATTAATACCAATTTAGATTCTAAGCATAATGAGTGTATTGATTTTACAATAAAATGTGTGTGAATGTGTGTTTATATACACGATAAGTAGTTGAAAAATGCTTCAATTTTCAACTTGTATAATGGTTTTGAATAAAAAATTTTATCTAGTTTATACTTATAAGAATCAAAATTAAAAATACACAATATTTTTCAAAATAAACGGAAAAACAAACAAAAAATTAAGAAACGTTTACACTACACCAGTTTTTGAAAAATTTAATTTATTTATTTTGTTATAATTCAAAAACAAATAATCGTAAAAACCTAACATTTTCACTAAATGTTTCTATTATAATTTTCTTTAATCAATATTTTATATATGATTTTTGAAGTTTTTGAAAATTGTATAGACATAGGGTTATTCTGAAAGTCGTTCATCAATTAATTAAATTTTTATAAACAATTACTATACTGATAATAATATTAAATCTATTATTTTAGAATTATTCTAGAATTTTAATTGTTACTAGATAAAAATAATAAAATAATTAACGGTAAAACTAATAATATTAAATTAATAAAAAAAATCAATAGTTTAATATTTTTCACCAAGTGTTTATATAATTATTTTCCGAGCAAGATTTAATTTGAAAACATTTTGACTATATTTGGGCTATTTATAGTTTTTTTTTTCTATAACAATTGATAAAAATGTATTCACTAAATCAAAATTCTTAAAAATTTAATACAAGATTCCATTCAAAGTTTTGTTTTTATAAGTATTTAAAATATGTGTGCTCAAACTTTTTTAATTTGCATTTAAAATTCAATTTTTCACAAAATTAGTCAAAAACGCAAAAATGTACAAACCACAAGTATTCTGTAGAAAATAATCAATAAAATCTTCAACTATTAAAGCTAAGGTTTGAAAATTGAAAACAATATTTCTATAAGTATTTTATACGGAAAATAAAAATCTAAAGAGTTATATAAAAATAGTTTTTATATATTATGTAAATGTAGTTTAAATTTGGTCGTTTTCACATATTTAAACGATGAATATCAATTATAATTATTTTTTTATACCTAATTTAAAAAAGTTATTCTTGAAGACTTAAAACTTTTACGTAAATTATGAATTTTAACTCACAGCGCAGATATTTAAAAAATGTAGATTCATTTTAAGATATTAACTATTTATATCATAAAACATTAACTTATTTACACTGCTTTACAATAAGAACTAAGATAATATTGACTCAAATTTAATAACAAAAATATAATAATATGAAATAAATTATATTTAATATCAAAAAATAGAATAGTTTTTTGTATACAATAATATATCATTGAATACAAATTTATAACACATCCATTACAGTGACCAACTCGACATCTACTGTATAGCAGAACTATATTCCCCAATTCCAATTTTTTTTTTTATTTAACAAATAACAACATTTCAACAAAGTTTGGCAGTAACTAGGTAATTAAAAAGTTAAAAGTTAAGTTAAGAATTACTTTTTTTAATAATTATATTTTAACTAATTAAAAAATTAGAATGTTAGAAAATAACTTAGTTAGAATATTATTTTTTGTAGTACACAGACAAAACAATATTGTGCTTCGGATACACTACCCGGAACACACATAAAATGTTTGTAAATTATACTTATTTCGAGGATTACACAACCCAAATAAAGTACACACAAAATAATTTGTTCCCGCAAATTTCCCATAATTAAATACTTCAATTTTAAAAAAATGTACCCACACATGCATATACTCACAAATTTTGCTAGTTGAGATACCAAAACACAGTCATTTTTTGGTAACACCAATCACTTTGACGCATACGAATACAAATAAAACACAATTTAAAACATTAGCATTTTATTAAAATGTTGTGTTTTACATAGCGACTGCATAGTGCATAGAACAGTCGCCGCTGAAGAATTTCATCTTCTCTTATTTCTTATATATGATATATCTATTATCGTAGCTTAACCTACTTAACCTAGTTGATATACTTATTTGTAGTTGGTTTACTAATACTTACTGATTAAGACTTATTACTAAATTTGGTTACTTATTACATAATTGTTTTTTTTTAATTTTGTACACGTATCTCATATGGAATACAACATAACAAAATTATTTATTTTTATAAATAATTTTAACTTAACTTAGTTATACTGTTAAAACTAAAGTTATTCGTAGAAAATTATTATTTTTTTTTTTGTTTTGTGAACTATATATTTTTCGCATTCATTTGTGATATATATTATATATATATATATATATATATATTTTTTTTTTTTTTTTGGATTAAAATTGAATAATATTTTAATTAAAAAAACTATCGCGTGAATAAAGCAACGACAAATCTTCTAGACGAAACCAGTATGCTATTTAAAAATAGTAATAGTTTTTTAAATATATAAACTAATCATTTTATTTTCAGTGAAATAAAATTTTTTATAAAATATATATTTAGGAGTATTTAAAAAAATGTAGCTTATCTTTTAACTCAAATCAATTATTATTTGCCTAAAAATGTATAACTGAACTTAGTTACTCAAATTAATTTACCTTTTGAAATTAACTTAGTATGTTTAGTTTTTTTTTTTTAGGAAAACTTAACTTAAACTAACTAAAAAAATCGGTTAACTTACCCAGCTTTGTAGTTCAATATATCTTTTTAATAAATTTTATAAAAATCTTTTATGATATCAGTTTTATTTTCACTCTTATAATATGATTATTATAAGTATTTAATCATTACTTATAAATTATAAGTACACTATATTACACTATACACAATTTTAATAAACATAACTATTGCACACAAAATTTAAGGAAAAAAAATATTTAGTTCAAATAAGAACGTTGTAAATCAAGACATTGATTAATACATAGTAAATAAATCAATTATTGAACGTTTAAAATATTTTGTAAATTACATCATTGAAAATTAATAAAAAATATTTAATTTTGTGAAAAAATAAATATTTTTTTCTAAATAGATTTGATTTATTATTTATATTTTAATGTTAATAACTTAGTGTGCAAATTTCTATCTCGTTATTTATAGTTAGAACAATTGAAACTATAAACATAGACATATAATTATAATCCGCAACTACAAATCACTTTTGTATACAAAATAATCTATTTTTATTTTATTTTATTGATGGTGTATGCAAATTTGAAATTAAAACTAAAACTTAGAGAAATATTACTATCCATTTTTAATAGTGTTTCAACGAAATCGTAATAAAACATACACAATATGTATATAAATTATATACGTACGTGTCCGTTACAGTTACTATTAGTCATTCAATAATCTATCTTTCCGTGAAACTTTTTTATGTTTAAAATCTAGTTATTGCATAATTCATAGGTTTTCAGATAAGTTAGCAAAGAACAACAATACAATTTAATATACTAGTGACAATATATAATACCTTAAACTCGTTGGCATTGTCATTCTCATAGTTGCCCTCAATTAAGACACATCAAACGATAACCATGGCGAATTTAAAGATAATTTATACGGCAATTTTCTATATTATTATATCCACTAGTACGTCTGTTATATTGGTAAGTTTAATTTAGATTTTCATAATTATTTAATGTGCGTAACTATTATTTATAAATTTATTATCAAAATAAAATAAATTATTCACTATTTCTAATAACTAAATTAACCCTTTGTCATTTAGATTATATACCTACATCCGGTTACTATAATTATTAAGCTATATACCAGGGGTGGCTAATCCGCGACCCACGTGATTTATCACACTTTTACAAAGTATGTTTATTTTTATACATTATGTGTCCAAATTTAATGTTGGGATATATTATTTTGTATGCAGCCTACAGGTTTTAATATATTTCCAAAGTGATTCGTAAAATTATTTGAATTGGCCACCCCTATTTTATACGTATAATCTACATTATACTATAAGCCATATCAACTAAAAGAATACTTGATCTTTATATTATTTTTCTTTACTCACATAGTCACATTAAATAATTTTCCTCTAATTATATTTTTGAATATCAAGTTAAATGTTATGCTTAAATTTCTATCAGAGCTTGGAAGATTAATTTAAAATATATCCTATAAGTTCATTTATTATTATATAATTAACTATTTAACTATAACTTTGACTTATCTTAATAATTCTGTTAAGATATTTAAGTAATGTAAAAGGCATGTTATTAAATTCACTTATATACATAGTATTTAAATAATTGACTTAAGTTATTTGTTATTACTTTTTAATCACATCAATAAATGAAAATTTAAATGCTTAGCAGATGTATATTCAAATTTTAACTAATTTGATTACAATAATTTTAAACTTGATTCATTTTTGTTCATAAATTTTGAATTTTAAATTAACGCAATTGTTTATTCATAGATCTTAGTAATTTTATCGTCCATCATTCTCATACCCCAATCAATTATAAAAAATTCATTTCGTGAATTTAAAAATGTACATATTAACTTTTTTAACTTATACAGACAATGAGACATTTATTTTAACTGTAAATCGAAATTTCGGTAATTAATTATACTTTTATTTCAAATATATTTAATTAAGAGTACATTATATTCAATATGTTTGAAAATAAAGCAAATTAAAGAAAAATTTCAAAAATTTTTTACCGTCTTAAAAATTAACTAATTGAGGGAGAGATATATTTTTTGATTTATAAATGCATTTAACAACTTATTTACAATTTTTCATTTTCCGTGTGATTAATTATGCTTAATTGAAACTTACTCACTCTCAAACATCAATTAGTGAATTTTTTAGAAACAAAGTATTGTCAAAGTGATTTAAAAAAATAAAATAAAATTTAATTACAAAAGCTAAAAATAAAGATGAAATTTAAAAAAATTGACTTGCTACGTATGCTATGAAAATTTGATGAAGTTTTAAATAAATGCAAGAATTATTAAGTCCTTTGTACTAAAAGAATAACACAAGTTAAATTATACGTAAAAAAATTATTATTATTAAATTATAAATTATTAAATTAAATAATTGTTAAATTATTTCGTACTTCGAAATATTTCGTTTAACCTTTATTGTTCAATACACTGTACACCTAAAATTATTTCATATTATGCATATTTCTATATGTCGTCTACATGATTATAGTCTATGAGAACAACTTTAAATACGTCTATGTTTTATTATGTCTAAGTTTGAGTTAGCGCCGAACTATGCTTTAACGTACGACGATTATGCCAATTTATGTGCTCCAACCATTTCGTGTGATTCAAGTATTAAATACCGGAGTATTAATGGATCATGCAACAATTTAAAAACTCCGTGGCTTGGTGCATCTATAACTCCACATTTACGAATACTCGATGCTTATTACGACGATGGTAAGTAATACATTAAATCAATTAATAAAATAAATATTATACAATTAAAGTTAAAAATTAATATTAAGAAAGCGCTACATTGACATTTAGGCACCCAATTGCAAACAAAATATTATAGTAAACAAGTTTTTTTTTAAGTATTTTTATCGCAGAAGACTGTATAGGTTAAAATTACTTTTAAAAAAAATTAAATCAGCAAATATTATTACACAAATTAATTAAATTATAAATAATTATTAACATTTACAAATAGTTATAAAAATTAAAAGTTAATTTTAGTATAAAATGCACTGTTGTGAACAAACAAAGCAACCGCATTCTATAAATATTTAGTGTTACAAAAGATAATATATAATATAACTATATACCAACATCTATGATCTTTAGATACTATAAGTCGATTTTCGGTATATAGCATCTAGTACCAGCTGTTCTTAATTTCATATTCTCATAATATTTAGAGTTTTTGTTACTGAATTCTAACAATTCTGTATTATCTCAAGCGGAAATAATTGGAATCGATTAAAAAATTAAAACTATTTTTCGCAGGGGAGTACCAATTCCGTAGACAAACAAATGGCAATCCATTGCCTAACGCAAGATACATTCAACTTAAACTGTTTCTCGACAAACAGTTTCTGTACCCAAATGACCATAACATCCTTTTTATGGAATGGGGTCAATTCATTGCACACGACACAACTCATCTACCACCTGACGTTTCAGGTAAGTAGTATATAATTGTATGTTCACAGCAATTTTTAGCAAAAAGATTATAAAGGTTTAAACTAGTATATAATGGATTTATCCTTAATTTTTCCGTGTAACATAAAATCATAATAATTTCAAAAAAAAAAGTTTACGTGAAGATGTAATTTCAGAATATATTATAAAATCTCACTGCTAAAAATGAGTGCTGTGAATATATTGCTCAGGAAGTAGTAATCATAAACAAAATATAACGCTCCACAAAACACATAACGTACCATACAACATACTAATGTATACATAAAGCCACAGCATTTTTAAGTATGAGAATGGAGAGCTAGAGATGAAAACAACAAATAAACTAACACATCAATTCAATACTTCATTATGTGTTCTAGAATTTTTAAAGTTAGATGCTTGTGTTATAATATAACGAATTTGTATTTTAGATTCTTTATAAGTGTGCGTAATATAAAAGAGCTACATTATTAATCTAACCAATGCCGTGCCTAGGGGGGTGCAAGAGGTGCGTATGCGTATGCGTACCTATACAAAACCTTTTTATAATCCAAGTAATATTACTGATAGATGAAAGTTAACCACAATAATTTATATTTTTTAATGGTTTAAATATAATAATATCATCCTGATCGGCGGTGTCGATTCATTATTTTGACTGGCGATGAGATAACGTTTTAAAATGTATTGTATGCAATTATATAAAAATATCTATTCATGTATGAATATAATTGATTTTTATTTTTATCTCGAAATAACAATAATATACTTTAAATATATGTATACTGCATTATTATTGTTATTTTATATAATTAATAATTTAATAACAGAATTTCGACTGGAACAAGTTGCACAGTTTTATTTTGAACCCATCTATGATAATGTTCACATCACTTATTGCAGAAGTAGGTACGAAATTATTTTTTATTAGCATTTATTTGAAGATAAGTTATTTTTTATGCAATCGAACAAATTTGATTCGTAAATAAATTATACCAGTTTAGTATGATAGGTACCTAACCTATCTATCAATATTTTTTATTCTATGTATACAATTTAAATATTATACTACTAATCTATTAATCTAAAAATGTGCACAAAAAGGTAAATCTAACGAATTTCACTCTCCTATTCTTATTTTATTTCTTTATAGGTATAAACACTATAAACATACATGATAGAGAGGATAAGAACACTAAGAATAATTTTTGGCACCGGATACTAATAATACTAGGCACGGCACTGAGTCTAACAAATTATAATAATGTACACAATTTTTTTTTAAACAATTTTTATGCAACATTATACTGTTTATACAAGCATAGTCTATATTAAATATTATGTAGCCTGCAATATCTAACTTATACATATATTTATATATTCCTATAAATCTAAAGCTGAACTCAAATTCTATTACGAAAGAATCAAGTAATTAATTTCCTTGAGTATATTTATTTAAGTAATTTGGGTCGTTTTCAGTTGGTGCCAATTGTTGCGATTTGCAAAAAATCAATCCAGTACCTCCACAATGTCAAGCGGTCATTGAAGTACCGGATAATGATCCGATTTATTCAAAACTCGGACAAACGTGCATCAATTTTAACCGCGCGCGGACGTCTATTTCCGACAACTGTCAATTAAAACCTGCAACATTTGTCAGTACAATAAAAATATTTTAAATTCATCCAAAACTATGATAAAATATTATAGTTTGTATGGTATTAAATTTAATATTATAGTTAATATAAAATACATCATATATAATCAATTGTTTTTCAGTTATTGAGGCCTATACATATAAAATATTATATTTGTCTTAGGACTATCCATCGTTGGTAATTGTAAAAATAATTTGGTGAAATACTTTTAGGAACTAAAATGATTTTTTTAGACAAATACGATATTATATTCTCAAACACTTGATTTCTCAATCATTATATATTATTATTGAGAAAAAAATGAATAATACCTATTTTGTTTTTCATTTCCAGACAGTATGTTCAGATACAGTCTATAATTATTCATTTTAAATTTATGATAATATTGAAAAGTTTATTAAATTGCCTAAAAAAATCAAATAAAACAAAAAAAGGCATTTATTTCTACCCATTAATCGTTTACATCTTAATTATATATATATTATATATAGGATTTTTTTTTGCATTTTCTTGAAAATATCTCCCATTTAAATTAATTTAATAAATAGATATTACCATCTTATAATTAAATACTTTATATTTGTAAATTCTAGAATATTAAATAAATATTTACAAGTTTGATAACAATTAATAATTTAAGCATTTAACCATAATAAAATAGACCTATTTTTGTTAAGTGAAATAGGTTAATAAGAATAAAATACGTTTATAATATAAAGTGTGGGTACTATAATATTAAATCAAAGAACGTATACAGAGAACAGGCCGTATAACTCGACTGTCCTATAACAATTCACAATATAGCAGTATAATATGAAATGCTACACACAAATAAGAATGTCATCTCAGCAATTTTGCTTCCCTTATAAATGTATAACTATATAGCTAATCTTCAGTATGACGATACTACTTATTGTATACAATCTACTGAGTAATAACTAAATTAAAATTTAATATTTCAACAATTTTTAATATGAATTAAACATTGATCAGTATGCTAACTTTGAACATAATATTATTAAAATAAAAAATTTCACTAGTAAAATTGAATGAATCTCTTAAGCCATGTATGCTCAAAAGTTAAAACATGCTGTAAATTCTATGTAATACAATAATCAATTATTTCCAGATGGTCCAGGCGACGCATTTCATCGACGGATCCCAAATATACGGTCCCGTAGAAGAACTCGCTGCAAACTTGCGGTCGTTCAAAGACGGTCGATTAAAATCGGAATTTTTCGTGGATCGACAAGAATTTTGTCCACAAAGGAATCGAACATCATTGCAATGTGACACGTCGAAAAATTCATTAATTTGTTATTTTGCGGGTACAAATACTAATATAATATCATCATTATCATCAAATAAAATATTTAATTGAAAAGTTTCGTTCACAATATTTTTATTTTTTTTGTTTTAGGCGACGTTCGAGTAAATCAAAACCTAGGAATAGCTCTTTTTCAAAACATTTTTTTAAGATTTCACAATATTGTTGCATATGAATTGTTTCGTTTCAATCCGTCATGGTGTGATGAAGACATTTACCAAGAAACGCGTAAAATCGTAATCGCCGTCATTCAGCACATTACTTACACTCATTATCTACCAATTTTATTAGGTAGGCGTTAAAATTTATAATATTTACGAGGTTTCCATATTTTGAGTATAATTAAAATATTTTAGGAGAAAATTTTATGTATTTACACGGATTCTTTGAACAGACAGTATACGACGAAACCGTAAATCCAAGTACCACTATAGAGCATTCTACTGGTGCATTCCGAATACTCCACAAGCAAATTCCTCCTGTCTTAAAGTAACTATATTAATATATTTACATGAAATAATCACGTAATATATAAAATATAAATTTAAGTTAATACATTTAAATAAAACTTGTTAAATAGAGTTTTTTTATGTATAGATAAGCAAAATATAATAATAAATATAACTACCTAATAACTAAAAATCGTTTGCTTTTAAATTTTCGTCATTTTATAAACAAAGATTTTTAAGGGATTATATAATTTTTTTAAATTTTCATAAGTAAAAAAACTGTTTTATTTTTAATTAAATCCGTATTTGTGCTTAATTCATCTTATATTGTTTGGTATGTGTATATTGTATAGGTATCTTAAACATTATAACTTAATTTAGTTAAAACACTAACTGCTGTCACTGCTGTGCTTAAAAGTTTAAACTATATAATATGTAGAATTGACTCTGAATTGGAAGTGGGTAGATTTTATATCTTATAGTTTATGCTATATGCAAACGCTGAAGTTAATTTTTTCCTGCAACGTCAGACAGTCACAGTTTACACACCAAGCCAATTTCCCATACCAATGATGATACTAAACGTCGGGTTAAGATGCTTTTAGGAAAATGTATCGATACTGTTAGGTAAGCAGCTGCTTAGTACTTATAACTGACAAGTGATTACACACGAGTTTACGGATACAGAAAATTATGTTTAATAAGATATTAAATTCGTACTCTGTATATAGTTAATACTAAACGTATATAATAGCACAAAACATTTTATAGTAAAGCAAAAAAAAAAAAAAAAATGAAAATATTAATTATAATTATTTTGAAAAGAAAGCAGGAAATACGTATTTCTGAACGCTTCATGTAATTTTATTTATTGGGAAAAAAGTATCTTAAAATATAACTTATAAGTTAAAAATAAATTTAAATAAAAATATCAATAAAAGCTATGATATGCCTCTGATAATATTCTTACCGCTGAATCCTATAATAAGTTAAATCGTTCTAATATTAAAACTAAACATTTTTTTCTACTGAACGAAATATATATTGTTGTATATTATTAATATGGCGATAAAACACGAATTACTAATTATCTCTTTATAAACGCAATATTTTTGTCAGTATTATTGATGAAAACCACTTCAACATCCACCGTATTCTGCTCACTGACTGGATGAACAAGCCCGATCTTCTGCCATTACCAAATCATTTTGATGGACTACTACGTGGATTTCAAGAGATACCTACTCGTGAAGAACAACCATCTTATAACACATGGGTATATTAACCTAATGTAAAATATTAAGTATGAAGTGTGCTTGTTAAATATATTAATACAATATATCCATTAACAGTTAACGACTATGAATTATGATATGATATTGTATTATGTTATACCTTTATAGCATATATTATTTCTGAACTCAATTCATCATCGGCTAGTGGCTACCTGTTATATAATAAAAAAAAATTTAATTTTATAATATACAGTAGACGCCGCTTATAAGACTCGCGAATATAAGGTTCAGTCGTTTATTAGACTCAAAATCGTCTGGAACGGTCCGGACGTATCCAAATACATTAAAAAAAATCGGTTATAAGACTCAAATTTCGTAAAATAAATAGTAGAAAATAAACTTTTTTGGTTATAATTTAGAAATAAATTGATTTTGAAAAATAAAATAATATTCTTGTTGATTATTTCTAGTTTCTGTTGGTACCTTATAACGTATAATAATTTTTATCGCAGATAAAAGTTCACATTTATCGCAACGATAATTATAACGATTATAATTTTAGTTTTTTTTATCGGGATTATTAAATTTATTCAATAATAAAGTATGTAATATGTAATATGTGTTAATGTATTAAAATCAAAGCAAAATATGTAGTAAAATAAAATTTATAAATACGTAATTAATTTTTTTTTCCACTTCGCCTATAAGATTCATTCGGTTATAAGACTCACTTTGTGCTGGTCCCAAAGTGAGTCTTAATAGTCTTATAAGCGGCGTCTACTGTATGTTTTACTGTAAAACCCATTATAGGTTTCAAATTTCTTATTCCAACAAACTACGCCGAAATTCAGTAGCAATGATTTGCTCTCGGCGGATATACAAAGAGGTCGTGATACCGGGATGCCGCCATATAATAAAATTAGATCGATTTGTGGAATCCCGGAAGCTACAGAGTTTGACGATCTAATTGATTTAATCGCTTACGAGGTTGGTGTTCCTTTTCTAGAACACAATCATTATATGTGTATAATCATTAATGTTATTATCCGACGAGTAGGACATCCAAAAATTGAAAACCCTCTACTCAAGTGTAGACGACATCGATTTTATCGTTGGTGCAATACTAGAAATGCCCGCTGAAGGTTCTAAAGTCGGTCCCACTTCTCAGTGCATAATAGCTGACAATTTTTATCGTCAAAAGATTGGTGATCGTTTTTTTTACGATGTACGAGAACAACCTGGAAGCTTTACGCCGGGTAGGCATTATTACAGTATTAGGAAAAAAAAGCTCTACGATTTATTGATGATATATTTTTATAGAAATTATGATATTACCTGTATATAGATTATAATTTAAAATGAATTTCATTAAAATTGATACTATTCATTATTATCTAAATACTGATAAATTCAATGAATATAAATCTATGAAAAAGTATTTATTATAAATTGTAATTTTAATCTTTATCAACTTTAATAACTGACTAATTAAAGTTTTTTAATACCATACAGCGGATATTAATAACTTGTATACAATAAATTTAAAAATCAAACATAACCAAAAGCCAGAAACGTATACAAAAGGAGGCTATTATGACTAAATCCCTCCTCCCTTACATAACATTTCAAAAATAACCTAACCTACCTCGCGGTAGATACCTAAATTAGTAAATTTACTAAAAAATGAAATTGTGTATTATTTGAACACATCTTACAATATTTTAGTAAGATTTCAAAAAAGAATATTATTACGAGCTCTTTGTACAATTATCTTCTTCCGTCGATTAACGACCTAACCAACCAGTAGCGTATTTTGGGGGGTATACTCCATGTTTGGACGTTTCCAACTTGGAAATCACCCAAAATATGCCAGTGTAACCGACAGTCTAATTTTATACATGTTTCACATTTATTAGGTATTACAGAGTGGACTTAAACTAAATATTATATTCAATAGGTATGCATAGTTTATAAGTTAAATATATATGTTATGTTTTCAGAACAATTACATACATTGAAAAATGTAAATTTCGGCAGTGTAATATGTGCGACGTCTAATCTACGATATTTACCCGAAGACATATTTATGCCGTTCGACAGCAAGTAAGTGACTTAATTATACTTGTACCTACATTTGCTGTACTATGACGTGTTTTTTCTTTGTGTTGAGAATGACATTGAGACTAAAATTTAAAAAAACTACTAATCTGATTAATTATATTTTGTATATTTTACAGATATAATACAAGACAAATCGATTGTACCGCTTTTACGCTAAATCTGAACGCGTGGAAGGATATTTATTTTAGTGATTAGGTAGTTATATAAGTTATCATTTTAGTTAAAACCATGTATCATATTTTAATACATCGATTTATTTTATAAAATGATGGGTTGGTAAACCTATATTAACTACCTTATGAACCAAGTTTGAAGATAATTATAGATAACTTATGTAGTACTCTCGCACTACACTTGTACACCTTAATTATTTAATGACGTGCTTCGATGTCTTGTTGTTGATATTTGGTAGAGTCACAAAGGTATGTTGAAATAAATAAATAAAGTCAAAGTTATATTATACGTTAAAACAGTATGTTTTAATAAAATAAAGTAAATTAGAAATAGTAACAATGTAATGAAATTGCATTTAAAATTTGAAGGCAGAGTTTACGCGCGGTACCTGAGAACTACGTAAGCTTGTAGAAGTAATTCTAGTAATTCTATAAAATAATGACCTTATATACACACGGCTTTGTTGGGGTCACGCCACGGATAGGCTTACATAAAAATATATGCATAGGAGTTATTTACGCCAAATCCATGAATAATCATAAATGTATAACTTTTACAATCAATCTAATATTATTTATAACATCACATATTTACAAATATCCATGATTTCATGAATATGCGTTTTCTAATCAAATAGGCCAAAGGACAAAATAGGGTGAAAGTCTTCCCACACATGTAAAAATACAATACTAGGAAACACCAGTTATAACTAGTAAACATGGTAGGTATATAAAATACAATCACACTATTTATGTATTAATGTATTATGGACTATTGTGTAGGTAGATATGTCATATGAACTGTATTACTAGCTAGCTCAACAATCGATTTTCACAAAACGATCACAATATCAAAATGAAATATGAATCTCTTGTAAAACCAAGTTTTCGATTAATTCGTACTCGGGCGATAGCCGGAAACCTTTAACTGATGGTAAAATTGTAAAGGAGTGCATTTTGAAAACAGTCGAGGAAATTTATCCCAATAAAATGAATTTATTCACCACTTTCAGCTTGTCAGTGAATACAATCGCGTGTATGTACCACAGATCTCGGAAATTATAATGTTCGTTAACTAAAAATACTGTTAAAAGTTGTAAAAAAAAAAAAATTGAACACTTCTGTACATTTAAATATTTAATTGTTATTTATGACGCTGTGAGATCATTGTGATATTATACGAAAGAAATTTATGAAAAAATGATAATTATTTCAGAAATCAGTAAGTTCACGATTTTGCACGAGCATATGGGCATTGGCTGCTATAAATGTTTTTTTATTGGAAGCAAGAAGAGCATTTTATTAACTGTAAGAGCGGAGTGAATAGAATACAAAGCTAGATATCTAAAGTACCTAATTAATAATTTATAGGCAGGAGTTTTTATGGAAATTAATTTAGAAATGTAGAAAGAAAGGAGAGGCAATGAAAAAATTAAGAAAGCTAATCTACTTCTGCACCGTTTGAAGTTCCTCAATTATTTTTTTTTAGTTGATGTTAACACAAATTAATAAAAAATAATATTTTATCAATTTTACAAGGTAAGTACCAGCAACATACAAGCAATATGTAGATATATATTTTTAAGAAAATTATCTTGACCTTTCTATTACCTATATATTATTATACATGTCACGATCTGGGCTCAAAAATGTAGAATATAATCATTCATAACAACAGAAATCAAAGTTATTTAAATTTTATTAAGTATTATAATATTTTGCATAAAATAGATTGTTTTCTTCTTTTCTATAATGAATATTTAGGAATGTACATAATTTAAGTAGAATTCTCAAGTATAAAAACTTATAAATATCTAGGATAGAAAAAATTTGTGATTTTGAACGATTAAGAATATTGATTTATATGTTAAGTAGAAACCCGAGGTTGTATCACTGGAGATATTTTTTACTTATACACCAATGCAGTGGCATAGTTATGGGGAGGGGGGATGATGGGGATAGATTCCCTCTAGAGCCTTAGAAAAAAAACAATACATCAATTTATTATATATCATATTATAAGCAAAAAAAAAAAGAAAAGGTTATTCAATATGATGTTCCGGTGTGATAAATTTAAAATCTGGACTTTTTATGTTTATCCAATAACCAATAAATTATATATCCTCCTCTTTTCCCAAAAATCATAACTACGCCACTGCACCAATGCACCACAATTCATATCTTCATATTGTATATTTGTGTAACAGTTTGTTAATTCATCTAAATAATAAAAGAGAAAAAATATGGTCTATGAGTAAATTACTTATAATCAGTACCAGTTTTAGAACAGATGCCGCCCCTACCCCGAGAAAAAAAAGTGTATTTATTTCTCAAATTCATAAATTTACTTCAGTTTTATAAATATTATATAATATTAATTTACGCAGTTACATAAATACGTAAAATATTTAAATATTTATATGATTTTATTTCCATTTCTTACAAAATTTGCCACCCTAGACCCGGGCCTCACAGGCCTAGGCGTAAATCCGGCCCTGCTTATAATACTATGTAAACAAAACATAATTTAAAAATATAAAATTATCTATTTAATAAATTGATTAATATTTCCTATACTCCACACACATGGATTAAATTAGAATTAGAACAAAATATACATTTATATTATAATACCATCATTATTACAATGTTTTGAATCACAACCTACGAGTAGTTATCATTACAGAATATTTAATCGCCCAACGCAGAGAAATAATCTTGATAAACTTGAATGTAGTGTTCTTTTTCTGATGGTGTCATTTGACTAATGGCATCAGTCATGTTTACTACTTCTGTAATTGGTACACGACGCCCAGCTACACTGACCAAAGGTGCGTCTTCATCCTCTTCTTCCTCTTCTGACGTTAGCTCTTCAACACCTAAAACAATTATAATAGATACATTAAAAAAATTTATGAAAAATAAAAACATTTTAATAACTGAACCATTTTTATTTAACATACCTATTAACATAAATATTGATTTTATTTTTAATTAATTTATCAAATCAATAATGATTTTTTTTTTTTAATTTTTCAAAATTATAAAATTATTTACTGAAAAATTGTATGAATGCAATTTATTGTTTGTAAATATTCTTTATGCATATATTCCATATTTCCTTATCAGAATATTTAATATTATTAAATAATTAATACAACTTTATTACCTGAACCAATAGATGGTTCATTCTTAATGGTTTTTGAAAAGTCTTCATCACTTGAATCCACGTCCTGTCCACTTTTCTTACCAGGTCCATCAGTTTGATCAGCACGTTTTTCGTGTTGTAGTAGGACAGTCATTATATCTACATCAGGAGTGAATTCAAGTGGAGCTCCTTCAGTTTGATCTTTAGTGTCCATTTCAATTGAATCCTTTAAAAGTATTTGAACACAATTAGTTTATTAATACATCAAAATACAAAGGCCAATATTTATAAGAATGGTAGAGCCTATAGTTATTAATACACAATTTAAGAATAACAAACTATAATAACAACTAAAACTATAACATTTACCAATATGTTAAGATAAATAAACTCAAAAAGGTGAAACAAAATATAATACTTAATTAAATATGTAAAATAATTTTAAAAAAACATACGTTTACATGACGTTATTGAAAGAAAAAAACTTAAAACATTGATATATGGGAATTATTATAGACCAGTAACTAAAAAAAAAATAGGAAACTCACATAATTTTTTTTCTTAATTTAGAATTTGTACAATCTGTAAATATCTTTTTAAAATAAGCATAAATTGTGCTTATAAGATTAATATGAAATAAGATAAAATTATTTGATGACTTTAAGGTATATAGTATAATATAATAAATCTTTTACAGAAACAATTTTTATAATAATATAATGTATATAAAAAGTTGAATTATGTTAAACTATTTTATCATACGAAAAAAATATTTATATGCATTCCTATGTTTAACACATTAAGATTTCCAACAATAAGGCTAAACCTTATGAAATAAAATAAACCAGCAAAACAAATAAATTTGCATCATAAAAGAAAATGTAATATACTATAAAAACAAATATTATGTATTATCTTATTAATTAGTTTTAAAAATTTTAATTATGAAAAATTGTTCTTACTCGAGTCGAAGTATTTTCTACAACAGTACTTTCTGTTAACCATATAGGCCGTTCTTTGATAACTGGACGACTATCTTGAAGGTCTTCGCCAATAGTAACTTCCATTTTTGAGCTATTTGAGTCCATATTTCGCATTTTATCAGGTCCCCATCGTTCTGTACCATTTGTTTGTTTACTGCCAGAAGACTGTGATGTTGCTGATTCCAGTCTAACATAACAAAATAATTTTGTAATAGTTATTTTTAAATATCAAGTAACATAATTAAAATGTAGTGCAAATACCCTAGAATACGGGTAGGTTCAGGTTCGAGAAGTTCTGGTGCAAGGCGGATACCATCTAGTTCACGGAGTATCGAATAAAAAGGCTCTACAACTTCATTGAAATTAGCTAACATTACACGAGAATCTTGTTGTGGTAAAACTGAAGTATCTTCTTCAACCAACTCACCACAAAAAGTACAATGGAATTCATTGGTTTGAAAATCAAATAGCATATCAGCCTAAAAAATTAAATGTGTTTACATTAAAAATTAAAATCAACAAATATTTGTAAATTTTCAATTTAATATTTATACTTTACAATCTCAAGATAATAAGTTATAATAAGTTATTATTTTAGTACTATTAGCACATAAATAGCTTATACCTTACTAACTGTTACCCCAACTAACATAACATATCATCATATTATATACTAATACTTAGCTCCAGAATTAAATATATTATTATTAAATTATTTAATAAATACAGTATTTATTTTAATTACAATATTAAAAAATAATAATAATATAGGTAGATACCCAAATATAAACTAAAATTTAATTATTTTTATTGTTTAAAGAAATGCAAATTTTAACCTCACTTAATTAGATTAAAACAAAATTGATTTAAAAAAAATTGTTATGCATACTC